TGCATGACATGGGTGTACTTATATACATGCAGGCAGTAAACTCATACCCCCCCAAAAAAAAATTCTGCTCAAATGTTCTTCTAGATGCATTTCCTTTCCTGATAAGCACTGCTACTGAAAATGCTGTGGTATTTAGTTTTTGCATATTTCCACACATTTAACTATTTCCATTGAGTTAGTTTTGGTTTTGATGCCTTTCTTTTTGTAAGTTATTATGCAAGTTTAAGCTTTATATAAAAAATTTAAAAATAAGACAAAGTTTTATGGGGTTTAGGTAGGTGAGATATATATGAATCAAAGTTCACTATGTAGACTTCATTTCTATCCCTAAAACATTTAATTGCAAAACATTTTACTCTAAATCTGAAAACATCTGAAATCTTAAACTTGTGGCTAGGGCTGGAGAGATGGCCCAGCAGATTAGAGCACTGGCTGCTCTTGCAGAGGACCCAGGTTTAGTTCCCAGCACCTACATGGTGGCTAACAACCATCCATAACTCCAGTTCCAGGGGGTCAGATGCTGCCCTCTTCTGTCCTCCGTGGGTATTGCATGTATGCATAGGTGTACTTACATACACACAGGCAGAGCACTCATACACAGAAAATAAAAATAAAAGAGTAAAACTAAAATGCTACTAGTCCCAAGCATTTTGGATGAGAGACGTTCAAGCTGTACAACAAATATGAAGTATAGTGTGCTATAGAGTGAGGCCACACCCAGCAGTGAACCTCACAGCTCCTGCCTTCTGAAACTGTGGTGTACCCACCGTTCTACAGAAAGACTGCTAGAATGGGCTGGGGTCAGGTGGTCCACATGTCCCACACTCACAGAATTGCTTTCTCTCCTGGATCCCTGTGACCAGAGCTATTGACTTGGGTCCTTAAATCCACACACACTTCAGGCATTGTTTTCACATGGAATTTTTAAAATATAGTTTTCCAAAGATGAGTTTGTCTTTCTGTGAAGTAAAAGCATAAATTGATCCATCTATCAACATACACAGTATAGCTTTCTATAGTATATTAATTGCGTCCCTCAAATGAAATAGAAATTGTATGAACACCCTTGCTGTTTTAACATTTGTTCTAAAGTTCTAAAAGAAGTGTTACAATCCATGAAAATAGACCAGTTTTCAAATGTTAGGAATTAGTTGGTCAGTGGTGGGCCCAGGGCTCTTTCAGTTCCCTTGGGGTTTCAGGCTGAGAATGGAGATGTAGAGATACTTGGTTCTGGTCATAGGTGTGCCCAGGCCTGAAGCATTCAGAGATGAGCACTCAGAAACTGTGCTCTTTGAGAGAGCAGAATATATGACAGGAGAGGACCAGGGCAGAGTGAGACCATGCTTGTGGGGCTGCTGAGAGGTTTCCTGCTGCTGTGAACTGTGGACCAGTTGTCAAGAGTGGAGGAGATTGGAGAGAGGTTGAAGGGTTAGTGCAGATGTTCAGACTCCAAAGGTGTGGTTATCAGTCTACAGCCCTGAGCTGGAAGGTCCAGGAATCACTGGACCCAGAGGAATGGAAAGCCCATTTTTGTTGTGACAGTGTTCAGTGCCTTACAAGTTTCTTCTTTTAAAAGGATAACTAGAAATTTATTTTGCAGTTGTGAATGATTGTTTTTCTTAAATGTTGACTAACTTGATGTGTGTGCATACATGATGTATACACACACACACACACACACACACACACACACACACCCCACAGTGTTGGGCAAACAGCTCTCCCTGGAGTACATGTAGCCTTCCAAATTGTAGGTCAAGCCAGTCAGAGTCCAGGGGTCCAGCTGGGTGTTTTGTGGGGTGTGCTGTGATCAAGGGAAGGCCTGAAGAGGAAGAGCCCTCAGATTGTACGCTATAAATACTGTGAAAAAAGGAGTCTAAGAGCAGAAGAATTGGTTGGAAGGAGGAAGGAAGCTAGTTATGTGATCATGCATTTGTGAGGTTTTGGAACAGTGGGGTTATCAATAGGAGAGAGTGGATGAAGTGACATCACAAGGTATCTGGATGTTGGGGATAGATTGCTATTTGCAATGGACAAAAGGTTGTGGATGAAACCTATTGCCGCTCTCTAGCCTCCCCTCGCCTCTCTCTAGCCTCCCCCCTCACCTCTCTCTAGTCTCCCCCTCCTCTTACCTCTATCTCACTCCCCCCCTTCCCTTGCCTCATTCTAGTACTATAACCCTATAATAGCACTGGTTGAATACATCCAGAGCTGCTTCCTGCTTGACTGGAAAAATATATTTCCTAAAAATTACCAAATACATTTTTTTGTGTGTGTGACAGGTCCTTTGGGAGGTAATTCAGGGACTGGTCTTAAAGCTAGACTCATGGTTAGTTATTGAATATCTATAACCTGTTTCTTTGGCTTGATATTTCAATTTCTAAAATGGGATAATAGCTATTTTTTCTCAAAGAGACTGGATAATACAGGGCTTAAAATTTCAGGCACTGGTGTTGACCATCTGGGTTCGAGTTTAGCTCTCCTTCTCTGGAACATTTGGAAGCACACTCCATTCCTATCTATAAAGCTACATAGCAGGAGGAACAGTCTTGCCCCTAAGAGCACGGCACAGATAGAAACATGAGTTAATAAACAATGGCCTCAGATAGTACAATATATTAACTACTTTATTTTTCTTTATTTTTTAATTATTTTGTCTCATGTAGCCCAGGCTGGTCTGGAATTTGCTGCCTTCCTGCCCCTGCCTCCTGAATGCTGGGACTGCAGGTGTGCATCACTACACTGTACCTTTTTGCTTTTTTATTTCTATAAATGAAAAGGATAAGCAATAACAAAATGTAGCATTAACTCTAGGTATTATGATCTATATCTAAGTGTTTTATCAAAAAAAGGAAGTTAATTTATACCTTCTTATGACAGCATAGGATAAAACCTGACTCTTACTAAGCAGACCCATGTCAACTATGGCAGGAAGATCTGTAAGTTCACAGACTCTTCTGGATCCTATCTGCTGTTCTGTTTGTTCACATTTCTAAATGACTTCTTTCATTTCACAAGTAATACATATATAAGTGATGTCATAGAAAGTTAGAAAATGCAGGAAACGGCAGCAGCAAAGCGTATGTCATATCTGAATCCAGAAGCTTCTTCTGGCCATTTTTGCTGCCCTTCTGTACTGTCAGACAATCTACACCTATTTTGTCGTTCTTGTTAAAAATGTTTTCCTAAACAAATATTTTGAAGCTTTTTTTTTCCCAAAATCTATGTTTTTTCTTGCTGAATTATGTTTTTAACTTTTAGTGCCAGCATATTATTATAATAGTTTATTGATATTTTATTGATATGTTGCATTAGTTATTTAACTTATTGATTGGTAAGTAAATGGTTAGATTATTTGTCTGTCATTGGAATTATGTCATCATCCCCTATAATACAGTTTCATGGGATTATCTCTTAATATTTGTAGAAGCAGCATTCTGTTCTAGTGTTCTAGTTTCTAGGTAAGCTTCCATGCTCCCACCACAAGAGCCCATTAAGCTCTGAACACACAGTGGCATTTCTAGTTCAGAATTCCAAAGTCGTCCACAAAGCTCTCCCCAGACAACGTGGACAGCTCTGTCACAGCAATACTCCGTGTTCCTGGTACTAAATTTCTGCTCTAATTTGCTTTCTGTTGCTTTGATAAACACATAACCAAAAACCAACTTGAAGAGAAAAGGATTTATTTCCGCTTCCAGCTCAGAGTCCATCACTGAAGGAAGTCAGGGCAGGAAATGAATCAGGAAGCTGGAGACAGGAACTGACTTGCTTCCTCTGGTTTGCTCATCTTTCTTATACAACCCAGACCCAGCTGCCCAGGAATGGCACTGTCCACGGTGGCCTGGGCCCTGCTACATAAATTAGAGATCAAGAAAATGCCCCATAGACATAGCCACAGCCCAGTTTGATGGGGGAAATTCCTCAGTTGAGTGTGCTCTTTCCAGGTGTCAGTAGTATGTGTCGGGTTGACAGAAACCAATCAGTACATAATGTATTTGAAACTGCATGTCAAAATTTCTCTAAGAAGTCTGCTGGGCATCACAGTTCAGGGTGCATGGAGGGCTCCCACTGTCTCTGTGTAGGCTGGCTAGGGCTGATCAGTGTGGGAAAGAGGCAAGCAGGAGTCCTCGGGAGCCAGCTAGGTCTGGTTTCTACTTCTGCCTGACATTGGGTGATTGAGACTTCAGGTGAGTTACAAATCTCTCTGGGTTGCAAAATATTTTGAGATCTGATTAAAGTAACTATTGAATGAACGGATGATTAGAAGGTAAATTGTGAAGGTTATTATAACACAGATCCTAATGATTGCTAAGTACTTAGTAAATACTAGCTCCTATTATAATAAAATACAGAGTCTTTGTAAATTAAAGGGCTTATACGTGATGATCAGGTGCTCAGTTCAAAATCTGGTAAAAATGAAGAGGAAAGAACTGCCATCCACATGCTTTTGCTGCCCCGCAGCAACATCCATCTAGTGCCCGTATTGATGACAGTGGACTGAGGGTCTTTCTGGCTAATGTTGGATGGCTCAATTTGGTCTCAGGGGATCTAATATCATAGATTTATGGATTATAGGCACTCAGAACTGGTCCTGGATCCTGAGCTGGGGCAGGGTAGAGGCAAGAGCCTTGTAGACCACCAGGATTACCTACCTGCTTACGTGTGGTGAGCCACCAACTCCAATTCAGAAACGGCCAGGCCAGTAAACTTGACTACATACACCTGCACCTTGACCAGATGCTGACCACATTTTTAGGATGTTTCCTTTCAGAAGCACTGGCTTTCAAAAATGCTTCTTGCATTATTTCTTTGAACTGGCTTAGGTTTACTTGTTTAGGGAAGATTTTTATCTGTCACTACTAGAGATTGCTGATTAACTTTAAAAGGGCCCCGCTGCTTGCAGCTTATTTCTGAAGCAAGCCATGTATCTTTGTAAGAATGAACCATTTGCAGAAAAATATAAAACCCTCACCCAGTGCTTCTGTGTTGTCATTTTCTAGAAGAAAGATGAAGGCCCGTGCTCCACCACCCCCTGGAAAACCTGCTGCCCAGAGCCTCCACAGTGAACAGAAACTTCCTCGGGATGCCACACTCGGCTCACAACAGAGCCTCAGCCACATGAAGGAGGCGCTACAGAACAGCACCTTAGATGTCACTGTGGTTCTGCCCAGTGGGCTGGAGAAGCAGTGTGTGGTCAGTGGGAGGTAAGACCTGGCACCTGGGTGGGGGGTCCTGTGCTTCTTCTCATGTGCAGGTGGGAAGAAAAGAAAGTGGGTAATGGACATGTTGCACTGAGTTCCATGTTGAGTCTGACCCAGGTCAGCCTGCATGGTATGAATTGGGCCTATATCACAGCTTAGGAGATTCTGAACAGTCCCACAGGGAAGGAGTGTGTGCTAACCAGTCTGGCCAGTCTCTCTATGAGCCTTTGGAGAGTTAAGAGTGAAAGCCCATCCTGCTTTAGAGTTTGGGCTCAGAGAAAAGGGTGATGGTGGATTTCTGTATGCAGCTCCAAGAAAGTGACCAAAAGCTCCTGGGTCAGCCCAGCTACCTCAGCATGCCACCAGCATTCTCGGCACTGAACTTCCACCTAGCAGGGCAGTCTCCAGAATGAGCCCCTCAAGTGTCCGTTTACAAGCAGACCTTCAGAGACAGTAGTGCAGTGAAATCAGTTTAAGTTTAGATTAAGGAATAAGCCCAGACCTGCAAGTTTTAGATTTAAGGAAGTTAATTCTCATTGCTTTCAGTTCCCCCAAAGTCCTATTCTTTAATAAAAACTTAATGTATACTAATTATACACAATAATGGGGCCCTTCCTCTTCCATGATAGGGTATCAACTAGATGCACAGGTAATCACAGCTGCTGTGCATTCAAGAGTGCAGCAGCCATGTCAGGGCTGAAAGTTAGAGTTCCATCCTGCTCCCTGCTCTATGTAACTCCTGTTTTTGCATTCTTTCTGCCCTTTCTTCCAAGATGCTCCTTGAGCCTTGGTGAGTGTGATACAGTGTCTCATTTATGGCTAGGAATTTAACAGTCATTTATTCTCAGTACTTTGACCAGTTATGAGTCTTTGCAGTTGCTTCTGACCACTATAAAAATAAGAATCTCTGACCAATGTTGACAGCAGTGCTAATCTATGGGCATAAACATAGTTATTTAGAAGGCAATTTGATGGGTACATCATGTCCATTTAGCAAAACAGCAGCATAAATTTCCCCACTAGGGCCCATGGCCTCCCCAGCCATGGACTTTTGACTGATTGTACAGTACCATACATGAAAGCAATGAGAGTTTTATTGCCAGTAGAACTTCATACGTTATGTTTGATATCAAAGTATATCGCAGTTATCTTGTTTGGATAGTTTGTGCTACTATAATTGTTGTTATAACTCAGTCCATGAAAAAAATGTTAATAAGGTCACAGAAAAAATGCAAGTGTTGACACATTTTATTGTAGAGAAATAGAATGATCAATTATAAAACTTTCAAGCATAAAAATATATTGTGTATCTCTGCAAAAGTGAATGGAAACAATATTTCTAGGAGAAGCAGAAGAAATGACATAAACTGTTCACTCTGCAAGTGCACTTGGCTCAAGAATTACTAAAATGATGGATGGCTGTTTTTGTTGTCCTGGACCCATTTTCAAAAGCACTAAGAGTTTCATGTATTGAATTTTATGTATTTTAAAGTACTAGTATTTGGGTAATGCTTGAAGCTAGCCAACCCTTTGCAACTATGTTATTAGTTTATTACCTAATTACTTTATAATGAAAAATTTAAAAATTATTTCTTGAGTATAGCTGGATATTGACCCTGGTGCTTTGGGCATATGCTAGGCAAGTACTCTACCCAGTCCTGGGTGGGAATATGTACATTTTCAAATTTATTTTATGTGATATGTGAACAAATTGAGGAGTCTTGCTTCTAGCCTCAGTGTACCTAGGACTGGGACTGCTATGTTCTAGGAGACCTTGCTCATAGTTGGAAGTGGCAGTATCACATTGTTTTTTGTAGTAGACCCAATATAGTGTAAGAATTGCTTTTTAGTAGGTTTCCTCCTGGCACACTGTCACCTTGGCACTAAAGAAGGAGGTGCCCAGACCTGAAGCTGCTATCTTGTGGGTTTTCTCCAGGCCCAGCTCACAGGCTTTATGTGCCAAGAGTCAAATTACAAGAGTTTCTGTTTGTTTTATAGAGTGGCCATCACTGTTAAGTACACATTTCCTGTAGCCTTAAGGAGTGCATTGTACTACCATAGTCTTAAAAATGATTTTAGAATATGCATAAGATTTTACCACATGTTTACTGTTTACAGTAAGCATATCACATATTTACTGTTCTTACATTTTGTCCCACTTGCTAATTGCTACTTTTTCTTTTTCTAGAATAAAGTAGCTTTGTGGCATCTGGATACAATAATACATGAATCTACTTTTACGAACATATGAAGAAAAGTACAGTTCCTTCCAGAATGTGAAAATACTTTCAAAAAATGCTTTTAAACTGAACACATATTCATTATACCTCCATTTTTTTCTTCCCTATAAAGCAGAAGTTGCCACTGTGCAGTTTTGTAAAATAGTTCCTGAGACTAGGTATAACCTTATGATTATTCAAATAGTGTTCTCTCTCTGAGTAATGGAGGTTTCCTGTAGGACAGGAGAGTCAGAGCGGCAGCCTGTGAGTGACTTTCCAGGGCTCCTTTCTGGGAGGCAACAGGGGATGGCGGCACTTCTCACTTTGGGAATCAGTTATGCATCTTACACGTTAGTGATGCTGAAATGGCCTGATGTCAGACTCTGGACTCTTGTTCTTTTTTTTCTTAATGTTTTTGTCTTCTACTTAAATGGTAGCTCTAATAAAGAACATGGTCACCATGCCATAAACTAAGCAACCACAAAGACCCTCACATTTCCTGACATGCAAGAGTCTCCTAAAGAAAACATACTAGTAACTAAATGCAGATCATAGTCATTTAAAAAATTTGAACTGCTTTAGAAAGAGAAGTAAAAGTCCTAACATATTAAGAATGTGTTGATAAGTTCTTACATATAAAGACATAAGGACTGACCTTGGGGCTGTTCTAAGGAAGAGGGCCTGACTGACAGACATTTCAGAAAAGCATTGTCAGCTCTCAGGACAGAAGTAGGAGGTTGCCAGCAGTCCCATTGCTTTAATTGGGAGCACAGGTAAGGGTAAGATCTTTGAAGAGACAATACCCAAAGCCCCAAGGGAGCTGCATAAAAGGTTCTTAGGTATTGACATTTTTGGACCCTGTCATTTTGGTGTAGGAAATTAGTCACATCCACATCTGTTCACACAGCCGAGGGGCAACTGGCAGGAGAAGACAAGCAGGTTTTTTTTTTTTTTTTTTTTTTTTTTCAGAATAGAGGAAATCTCCCCCAGTGTTCAGTCCTGTAATTCCACCCCTAAGACAAGTTTATACCTGTGCAAGGAATTTCAGGTCTTGAGCCTTGTAAATGCACTGCAGGACATTCACAGCGTAATTATTAGGCCTCTAAGCGAACCTACTAAAAATAATTGTAATTGATAGAATGAAATTATCAAAATTTATTTTTAGATTTAAAAAAATGGGACTCTCTTGTGAAGAAATAACAAGATTAAGGAGCTAGAAATTATAAAGTGCTTGCCGTTTTAGGGAAAGGTGGACACATTTTTACCAAACACACAGCTTAGTAGTTTGATCCAAGGCACTGAGCTTGTGTTCATGGTGGTCATATTCCAGTCTCAGTGATGGGAAGTATCGTTTTGTGGCCTCTTGATAGATTAATAAATATTAAAGTATTCATTTGTCCATTTATTAACATATGTATTAAATTACAAGCTCCTGTGAGGCTCTGGGCAAAGGGCATCTCAGAAAGACACAGAATTTTGCAGTATAGCCAATTGAAGACACAGGTAGATCCATGTATGAGAGTCTAGACTGAGGAGGGGAGGCAGATGGGCCTGTACACACAGTGGTTCTACTCCAGTTTAGAAAAGTTATAAGAAACCTTGCCTCTGAGGACTAATTTTCTTTAAGCACAAGAAATGATAGACTTGTATTAAAAGGAGTATGTGAAATTTACATGAATATTTAAGGCAACACAAATTGATGACTTTAAGGGTAATTAGGATGTGTCCAAGTCTGCTAGGATGCACATTGTCTTGTCTACTTAGTGAGGCTCATCTACAAATCATGTGCCCTCTCCTATAACCTGGACACACAAGGATCTAGACCATGAAGAAAGGTGACCTCCAAGACAGGTCAGAAATGATATAACCAGAGTTAAGAAAGGGCAAGAGTACCGTGGTCAGCAAAGAGATACCTCTGAGGTGGAACCTGTCCACACCTGCTCAGATATCCCATCTCATCTAGTATCACGTCTGAACAGTATCACTGTTAGGTTTTCCTAAATTCCCAGCTTAAGCTCACTCCTCTCTCCAGATAGAGAATTCTAACCAACGTTGCTTTTAGATGGTTGTACAGTCTGGTTGCCTTGAAGAAGGCAGGCCCCTCTCTAATTAGCAACCTCCACTTCTCTAACCTCACATCCCTAGACTCTGAATAGACCTGTAGCAGCTCTGTGGCCTTGAGACGTCGGCTGTCTGTACTTTTTTTTTTTCAATTAGAAAATGGTTTATTACTCTCATAATTTTTAAAAATTATTTATTTAATAGCCATATAATTAGAAGAAGCATTTCATGACAACAGCATTGGCATATAACAATTTCCAGAGGTAAGATGCATCTGTTTCAAGATTGGCTGTAAATATTTAGGTTTACAGTTGAATTAATATAGTTATACAATATTGTACTCAGTATAAACCCTTTAAGACATAAAATTGATGTGCTTGTGTTGTCACATAGCTGCAATGATCAAGGACATATCTAGAAGGAATCATGGACTGTAGTGTGGGAAGGGACCCAGGATAGGAGTTCCATCTGGTATTGATGATAGCTTGCCAGTCACGTTGCTGATTCATTGACTGATTGGCATCTCTGCTCCTTGTTCCCCATGCAGGTGATCTCAGGAGCCCCACACAGGCAGCTTTCTCCTTCTTGGGCCTTCACTATGAAACTTTGATTTTGCCTATTTGAAGTGCACAGTCTAATTACTTTTCCTTCTAATTGTAACTTTACTTTCTTGAGATATACAGAGTAAAGTCCACTGCAGTTGTTTCTTCTGGTTTCAGGACT